ACCTTGTTTCGAAGTTTGTCCGTGACAACGCGGCTTGATGGGTATGTCCTCGTCCTCATAGATACCTCTCTTTTTAATTCTTTTTAGAGTGATATTACCAGTTACCAGTTATACTAAAAGTAAAAAATTCTCATAGATACCTCTCTCTCTCTCTCTCTTCCACTACTAAATCACAATTGATTCTCCTCATCCACATAATGCATCTACACCTAGAACTCCTTTGTGTATCAGTATGATTTTAAATTATTTTCTAATTTTTTTTCAATTGGAGCTATACTAAATTGCTTATAAACATAAACATTCCAAAACCTAGATTTTTCTGATAACTTCGTACATCAATCTCAATAGATTTTTTCTCATGAGATTAGCCTTTTATACTTATTATCTCATATTTACCCACCAAGAATACAATAATGTCACGAACTTAGCTGGTTTTGCCTAAGTCGTGCGGCACCCTTGCGTGTCCGTCCGTAAAGGTCAGCCTCCCCGAAGCTTCTCATGGTCCCTTAGGACCTACAAAAGAGAAAATGGGCTAGAGAAAGCGCTTCACTCGGGATCCACAAGCAAACATTCCAGGAAACACTTCATAGACAATGCAAATTACAAACAGACTTTACAAGCTATGAACAGTTGCACAACAAAGGGTTAAAATGGTCCACTACAGACCGAGAATCTCTCACAAGTGTCCACATGACACAACCTTTTATTTACAAGCCTAAAGCGGCCACCAAACCAAACTAAAATGGGACTATTAAGCCTTCGGTCGTCCCTCTACATGTTGTGCAAAGCATGAACATACCAAAAGACACGGACATACATAAGCATTACATCAAACATCCTGTTTAGAAGTTTGTCCGTGACATTCTCCCCCACTTATTCCTTCGACGTCCTCGTCGAAGCCTTTGCCGACACTGCAACTCCTCGCCTTTGCTGAGTCTTCAATCTTCTGCTCCGGCTGCAATGCGTCTCTTGGCTCCCAGCTGCTCTCCGCTGCTATTTTTGAGTAGTCGAACCTTTGATCCGCCCTGCTGCTTCAACTCGCCAATGACTCTGACTCTTGTGTGGGGTTGGCTGAGTTGTGTTGATCCCTGTTGGTTCCTGCGGATCCTCTAGATGAAGGAAAAGACTATCCTTACTATACGCCAGTCTCTCAAATGACTCATGTTGCTTGAACTGGATGAATGCTTGTTGGAGCTTTGACGAGCATCTTCTCGCAAACTTTTGAAGTTTTTGGGTCCTTCATAAAATTCGTCCAACGACTCTTCTTTCACTTAGTTGTCGCTTCCAAGTAGGTTCGCATCACATCCGCTTTCGATTGGCATTTCGTTGAGAAATGAAGCAGACAATCTACTCTCAGTAGTACTGATCACCGTTGGTGTGAATTTGACAACCATTGTCTCCCATTATCTTCAAAGGGTCTTTGAACCTGTGCAGAGCTCCTCTGCTGGATAGATAAGAGAATTGGGGTACTCGATTTCGCCTATTCTCTTAAGAGTTGAGAAGGCAAAGGTTACTTGACTTCGCCCGCCTCCTCGAGGTTGTACTCCATGCATCGAGCTGGTTACTGGCCTTCGCCTGCTCTTTGCTCACACTTCTGAAGCACATAAAGTGTTTGCACTCCTTGCATTGAGTTAGCTACTGTGATTCACCTTCTCAATGTCATCAAACTTCTGGAATGCAGAAAGTTTTCACCCCAACTTAGAGTAATTCTCTAATAGATTTGGTCGCTTCTGGGATTGTATTGTCTTCTCTATCAACCTTGCCGGCTACTCCACTGAGTAGCAAAGGTACAACACCACGTACTGCCTGCGTCGTTCCTTGGTCATGCACTCTTGCATGACCCGAAGTCCTTCGCTTTCGGCTATCTTGATGAGAAGCTTGCTGACACCGGTCTTACGAAGTTCCTTGGCCTCTGCCCTTCAGCCTTGTCTCGGTACTTGGAGTTTGCCTCTGCATGCTCCACCTCCTCGGCCCCTTTTACGACCAAGCGCTCTCCCTCCATGAGAGCAAGGGAGCAATGACTTTCACGGAAGTCCCGCCTCTACGGTACCATGACGCTGCCATGCCCATGGCCCTACTATTCGTCGCCTCGCATCTGCATCCCTTTTCTTCACGATCAGTAGATACGTCTCTGTGGCACTCCTCCGAGTCCACCTCCATTCTAACTGATGCTTGATTTTGGGTAACTAAGTCCCTCTGGACTCGTCGTCGCTTCCTTGCCCCTTTCGACCCCCTACTTCAACACCTCTGTGTTCTCCAAGCAACTCCCTTTGGTCGATGGAAAGACATACTGCAACTCCCATGCATGGCCTCTGCCATCACGTTGTAGGGTTTGCACCGATTCTGTTCTCCTTAGCTTCCTTGATAGCAATATTCTTCCAAAAAATTATTGTAGGTAAATGAATCACTAGACAAAATCTTGAAAGCAGCAAAAAAATGAAATCCACCCATCCCCAATCTATAAGAAAGATTAATTACTTCAGCAACAACAAATAACCTCCCAGAATTATCTTGTCTCCAGTAGCTTGTGTCAGGTTCATAGTGGCATGTCCACTGAAGTTCTTAAAGGGTTCTTGAAAGAACTAATGAGATCAAATTAACATGAGGCAGCTAATTCTACAAGTTATTTAATAAAAGTGGCTCAGATGAATTAGCTCAAAAACCAAAAACAAGAATAGGAGCGTGGTTTTGTTTTCCAGTTAATCCCAGCAATTTGGAACTTGTCCAAGTCAACAAAAACTCAAAGGTTTAGATGAAACTATTGAAACCACTAGGACACACAGTAGGATTCATAAAAATGTTAGAACTGACCCTGATTCCATCAGTTTATTTAAAAGATGTACCTATTCTCAATGAATGTTTTTTAAACAAATAATTGTACTCCAGAAGTTAGATCTGATGAAAAGAAGGGGCTATCAGCTGAAAATAAACTGCAAACTGCTGAAGAATTACAGTACTTCTGTATTTATTTATTATTTCTTTCCTCAAAGTGTTCTTTAGCAAGTTAAAGGTCTTAGTCTATTTGAGAAATAGACTGATATCTATGCAGAAAAGCAATTACTGTTTAAAAAATTCTTAACAAATTGAATATCTTTATGGCCTAGGGCCTACTTATCCCTTCTTCTCTACTATTTCTTTGTTCATCCCCTGACCTCTTTTTCTTGCCTTGACTCTTGGATTACAACAAAAATGACAATAAAGCAGTATATAGACAGTTGGATCATCACCATGGTTTTAGATTCACAAAATACTACCACACCCACCATACAGTATAGGCTCGATGGTGTATAATCAACTAAATAATTTTTATTTTTTATAAGTTGGTGTA